GTTGTCAATTTATTTTGGCGGTTGGCAGGATACAAAATAAAAAAAATATAAAACGTTTACCAGGATTATTCAACTTCCAAGCCACGTTTTTTTCTTTGTTTTGGTTTTTTTTTATTGTTGTGTGATGGAGGCGTGGTTTTTACACGAAAGTGAAAATGCCAATGAAAAAACATTTGCATGCAAATGCAAAACATAGTCAAAGGCAACTTCCGTTCCCATTTTCATTGCCGTATTTCCAACCGAATTTTCACCAGGCTCACCATCACGTACAAAGGAAGTGGAAATGGAGGTGGGGTCGAACCGAAGCGGAGGCGTGCTCGCCTTCGCTTTTAATTTTAATGCGTGCAACACGCTCGCGCTTCCCAAAAATTAAGCGTCGGTTTATTTTGCCACTCCTCCCGCCCCTCCTTGCCACTTTTTCCTTCCATAGCGCCTTTCCTGTGAAACTTTCACCAGACAGAATATTCAGTGTCTTCCCTTTGGTTTCCTCATTTTTGTTCGCATTTTCCATTCTTTATTTTATTCCTCCCCGGGTTTTTGGGCTGGTTGGTCCAAACAAATAGGCGTCGATTAGGCAAATCAACGCATTTGTATGCAGATTATGTGCCGCTCTAAGGAAAAACAGCCAAAAATGGAGAGACTCTCGACGAGGAGCAAGTGGATAGGGACATTCAGCTTGTTGTCTCTAATTGCGACTCAGTCTTTTAGGCGCTCAACTAGGCGTATGCGTGATAAAAACTGTATACAAACAATTTTTGGCAACTCTTATGAGCAGATAAAAAGGACAACTTTACTTTTGTGGCTGCTCAATGGTAGGATAGAAAATAAATGTGGTTTACAATTTTAATAAATATTTTAGAAGAGATTATAGTGTAAGGACAAATGAAGATTCTTACAAGTTTAAAGACATAAACCCCAATAAGTCATATAGCTCTGACAATAACCGCAAAAAGTGTCACATTTAAAGCTATCTCATGGCATTTTCCTTACAGTTTCATTTATCCTATGTGGGTGGAGTCCCTCCTTCTTTTCGGAAAAACATCAAAAGTGAAAGCTACTCCCCTATTCCCATTACTCTTCCTATCTACTCGTATCGCTTCTCTGTGAGCAGAACATTGTCATGTATCATTACCATTTCAATTCACTTGACTTGCCACCCGCAACTTATTCCACTTGCCTGGTGTAATTTCCTGATGTTCCTGCCTCGTGTCTCGCTTTAAACAACAACGATCTGGTGCTAATTTCAAGCGATTGCTTTACAACGTTTCAGACAACCATCCTTGTTCCCATCTCCTTCGGGGTGCCTGGATGTGGATCCCTAATCCCCTTACCCCCTTTTGGCCAAAACACCACAATCAATACGGGCAACGCTTTTTGGGTCCCTTGCCGCGTGTTGAATTTCAATGCATACTCTTAGGCCGTACATCAAAAAAATATTTGTTTGCCATTTCACATATCACACAAGGACGAAGGCGCGACTCTAAATGTGTGTTGAGAGTGCACTCGAGGAAATAATTTATACAAAATCATTTTCAGTAAAAATACGCAAAGTTTTCTATACCTATTCTGGAAGTAAATATACTTATACTTTCCGATTATAATTCTTTCTTTTATTATTATTTATAAGCTTTAAAAAGTTCACATCTTTCTAGCTATTACCTTTGATTCCTACCCTAAAATATTTATTAAAAAATGTTTAATTATATATTTAAAACTTTTCTCCCAGTGCTTCAATGCCAGCTAACTGAAATGTTGTTGTTGTTCGAAATTCTAGGACTGCAGGAATCACATGCGTTTGGCATTTGACGCCAGAGAAAGAAAAAGCGCTGACGATGACGAAAACTCGTCCTTTTCAGCGGCGATTTCTTTGCCTGTTCCAGCTGCCTGTTGTTTCTGTTGTTTTGTTTTATACCACTTGCAAGTGGATTTATTTTGCAATGCCCCAACGGAATTTTAATGGATCCCTCACCCGCGATTTTTACCCCATTCCATAGCCGGCGAATGAACGAACGAACGAACGTGTCTTGTCCTCTTGCACAGAGAAAATGGCCCAAAGACTTTGGCGCCTGCTTAAAATTTCACTCATGTGGCGACGCTGGCGCATTCCTCCCTGCTTCCTCCCAATGTTACCATGTTTTTGCCATGCCCCCGTGGAGGCAAAATGCTTTACTCTCGTTTGTTTGGGTCACCATTTTACAGTTGGTCGTGTTTGTTTTTGTTAATTCGGTGCCACACTTCTGGTTTTATGTACATTTCACTTGTCCTGTCGCGCGCATAAAATGCGAAATTTAATTAGTCGTGTAGGTAAAAATGACATTTAAAATTATTTCGCCCTTGTTGACAACATCGAAAGTCACGATCCCAGAAGGAGAGAACAATAACATAACAATCAAGAGATTAAAGTCTAACCGACCGGAACTTTAAAGGTTTTTTTTTGATTTGGAAATATATAAATTTTAAAGAAATGATAAATATTCAATTAAAATTTAAAAATGAATCCAATTTTGCAAGAAATTTACTTGATCCTTCAAAGAGCCACTCACATTAAGTGCCATATTTTTCATTATTTCATATATTTTTATTTCCATGCATTATGCATGTTTGTGGCATTTAATTATGCACACTCATATATACTCATTTTTACCCCTTTGTGTACATTAATATATTTATAATAGGGCTTACACACGTCCGCCATAACGAACTATTTGGCTTCTTAATTCGCTTTCGCCCGGGCAAAATAAAATAATTATTGAAAGCCAACAAACATACACATCAATTTATATTTGTAATAACCTTTTGAAGTCCACCCATACACCCACCCACACAACCGAAAGTGAAGTATTTATTTAACTTTCGCCTTTCTTTTTGAATGCCTCTTGCAGCAGTTTGGAGTAATGTGGCTGCTGTTTTGACCCCCAGGTATCGGGGTAAACCCCACCGAGGGTGACCTTAACCGCCCACTAACTCACTCCCGCCCCACTTGTTTCCATATTCCCTCAGCAGTCACCCACTAGCTGGGACCAGTCCCATCCAATCCCATCGCAACCATCCACATGTAGTTAAGCTCACCTAAATACATTTTTGCTAGAATAAACAAGCAACCTTGGGTGTTTACCATAAAAAGTAGGTAAACTTGAGTGCAAAAATTGCGTAGCAAATGCGGATGTATGAGTTGAGTTCACCACAAACACATACCCACATACACATACATCCACAAACATACACCAAATGCACATAAAAATGTGAAAACGAACAACATTAACAAGCGCAGGAGGGTCTGGGTTATGGGGTATGAGTATGAGTGTGGGTGGTAGTTGGGGGGGTTAGAACAAGCTCTGAGTTCTGACTGAATGAAAACGAAATAAAAATAACAAGCAACAAGCAAGCTGGCAACATGAAGAGGGACACCAAGAAAAGGCAAAATGAACAGGGAACAGAGAATCCTCGAAAATAAAGAAAAGAAAAGCTCAAGAGAGGGTTTCAAGATTTGTTGCAGGATTAAAACTACCTATTAGTTTAAGCTGTAAATTTAAATTATCCTTAATTCAGCTTTAAAAAGGATAAAACCTATTAAATGAAAATTCTAAAGCTTACAATAAATAAAATTTCATATTGACTTATACCCTTAAGGCTTTTCTTAGAATTCCTTCAGAATTATTACCCATAACATACCCTATAAAATTAAAAGGACCCAAAAAGAACAACTCAAGATTTGGATGCTGAGGGAAAAAAAAAAGAAAAAGAAGGGGTTCCAACTCTGACGTCGAACACATTACAAGCAAAAGCACTTTTGACAAAAGTAGGCGCCAGCGAAAATAAACAAACAAATGGCAAAAGAAACAAAGACACACCGACAGACAGACATCGGAAATAATAATAAGACAAGGATGGCAAAGAAATGTGCAAGGAAGATAACAGATAGGCCCGCTCATGTGCGTGTTTCAAGGATCTCAAGGACTACAACATTAAGGAGGAAAAAAAAGTATAGCATGAATTTGTGCATGAACAATGCTCCAACAAAAAATACAAGAAAAAATAGATAGAAAAAAAGGGAAAAATCAGGAAAGAAAAACCCGTAAGGCCGAAACATCAACTCATTGAAAAGAGAAAAGGGGGTGCAAGAGGGTGAACTGCACAACACGGATATGAAGTACACAAGCCACACAAACGCAAAACGGATATCATTAAGACGTGCGTATATGTATGCAGTAAACAAAATTTTTGTTAAAATAAAAAAGAAAATATTTTATATTATTTTTAGAAAGTAAATTTCTTTATTTTATTATAAACACATTTTTAAAATTTATCTATTTTAAATTTATATCTTAATACTGTGATTTTCTCTCTGTGTTATTTGCATGGAAATGAACTGTACAGTCGGTGCCAGCGTGCAACAGAAAATGGCCAAGTGGAATGGCCAAGAGGAAAGTGCCAAAAAAGAGGAATACAAAGGGGTGGAGGGCCGTCAAAATGAGACTGTACTGGGGGGCAAACGGAGGGGAAAAGGATGCAGCGCTGTGATGAGCAACGGTAAAGAAACCAATTTACTCGACCTGGCCCGAAACGCAGGAGTACGGAATACAGTCAAGGAAATGTTAAACAACACAGCTGATGTTGCCGCTGCTGCTGCTGCTGCTGCCGATTCTGATGCTTCTGCTTTAATTCGCCAACAACAATCAAGGGGGTCAAGGGGGGTCAATCGGTGATGCCAAAGGAAAATGAAAAGCAAACCGAAATTGTTGTAAAAGATATTCGAATTAATGCAACGGAAAGCAAAGGAGAAATAAGGAGAGAGCGATAAGCAATATGGAAAGCATTATGCCAGGATATGGAAATCAGGTGCACAGACACAGACACAGGCAAATGAATAAAAGGAAAGAATAATTCCAGATTCCCTTATAGGATTTTATATTTATTTTCATAACAGATATTTTTTTGTGTAACAGACTGGAAAAGAAAATATTTTCTCGAGATATATAGAAACAAGTTGAAGGCTTTGTTTATATAACAGACTTGGCCAAAGCAATCAAAGAACCTGTAAAGCGTAGGATCTGAAAAGCAAATCATGTCCATTTATATTAAGAAATGAAAGCCCTATAAAAGACTGGTCTTACAGATGTTAGAGTTTCTAAAGATGGTGAAAAGAAGGGAATTTTAATGGTAAGAACACGCTGGGCACGAGCAATCATCAAAAGAGCCATTTTTTGAACCCGAACACTATGACCATACCAGTGGCTGGAAAATGTAGAGCGAGCCAACTCCGAGCACTGAAAAATATTAACAATTAATTCATAAATCAATTCAAATCATATAAAATTCTATTCTATACAGCTTCCATAATATGCGAGCCTCCGAGGCAATATAAAAAGATTTCCACGCCCACGGCGCAGGTGTAGACCACATACACAATAATGCCCAGACCAGAGAACTATGAATTATAAAAATTTTAAGTAATTATAGTCAGTTAAAAGAAGCTAAGCTCACCAGTAAAATATCCACCACACTTGTGCCAATAATCAAACTGGAGGTAACAAAATGGGCCAAAGTAATCTCCACCATCACTCCCGACAATCTTTCGGTTAGTTCAGCCACTTCGTTATGACGATCTACTAGTTTTTCCATTTCTCGAACTATCCGTGCCTCATTTTTTTTCTCTGGACTTTTTTCAATATCTTTAACTTCCAACAAATCAAAGACATCATCTCGAAGGCACATTAATAGAACTGTGAGGTAGACACAAAATCCCAAAAAGAAACCATCGGCTCCCACAAAACAAACAACTGTGATATAACCATGCCAATGGACAAGGATATAGGTGATGGGATATAGAGGTAAACGAAGTAGAGGATCAGGGAAGCTAAAAATAAGAAGAATTATTATTACTTTTTTAAAACTTTAATCCCTATACTCACATCATTTTAAAAGGCGTTTCATAGATCCACTCCTTACCCCTCGACTTCCTCAGAATATTATCCAGCAGATGTCTGACGGAATACGAAGTACTAGTACAAAATCCGCAGCACAATAGCAAAGTGGTTAGCCTAGTGGCTAAAGTATAGAACCTCTTTTTATAGCCCAGTTTTCGCTGAGATCTCTGCTGCTCTGTTAGAAATCTCACTCGTTGGATTAAACTTTTAAGTTCGTCCTGGTAATACCAAATGGCAATCATTTTTACCAACGACAAAATACTGGAGGCCACCGGACACAGGGCATCCAGCGCCGTGGCTATATTAATCGGTATATAGTGTATGCCATAGTAAGCCTCCGCATAGCAGCCGTAACTCAGGATGAAAAAGTTGAAGAAACTCCATAGCCGGACCGGCAAAGTTCTCTTCTGTTCCGGATACAGACCAATCAGCGACAATGCAAACTTTGGCACCAGAAAATAATGCCGCTCCATGGGATACGAGGCGGTGAGGAACCGAGGTAACATCCTTCACCAAAAACACCAAACACTTTTCAGCTCATAATCTGCCAACCAACTGCCCTCGGCCTTTTATACTGCCTTCAAAAATATATATAGTAGTATGTTGGTATATGTATATACCAACACACAAAGCACTTGAGTAGCATAATTGATGAGTTGGGCGTTGTCCTTGCTCATAGTTCGATAAGTTTTCAAATTGTTAACCCTCAATTAGGCAACGATTTCGGATAGGAGAGCTGGACTAGACAAACGGTGGTGGGGGGCGATCTGGAGGCGTGGCAAATTGGGCGTGTTCGTAATTAAACTTTAGTTTTCGGTAAACGATTTTTAATGACCTTTGCCATGAATTTTGTGTGAGCTTGGCAGGTACTATATAACACAAAAAATGGGTAAGTGGGCTAGGAGGTTAAAAATTATAATCTTATTAATCTAAATAATATGATAAAATATTTAAAAAAGTAAAAAATAAGTGTCTAGTAATCATTTTTTAAAACATATAATAGAAGTCCTAGTTTAGACCCTTGCTAGAAAAAACCCCTGTATTTGTAACCAAACAAGTTGACCCTCCATCACAGACCCTCCATTTTCACACAGTTCAAGGATCTGAGCTTAGCAAGTGTTGCCAGGTTACTTGCAGTTTGAATAAATATTTTATAAGCTGTCCATGTGCTCACAACCAGTATGTTTGTGAGTGTGTGTGTGTGATGATTATGCAAACTGCAGTTATTTGGTAAATGCAAGGATGGCCAATAAATTAATTTAGCTAGATGGCCGACTGGCTGACTTGCAGGTTGAATGGCTGAATGAAAATTTCGGCTTGGGAAATTGGGTCGGGGAAAGAGGCGAAACTAACGATGGCTCTCAATGGGGCATTGGGCCCGGCAGCTAACTGCACTGCCAGAAATTTGTTAAAATATTTCGCAAATAATAACGGACATCCAGTCGTATACTTAATATTTCTCAAGTGCCTATTTGGCCAACCTGGCCCACCAGTCGTATGCTTAACATGGAACTTTATTTTTGAAAAAACTATTTTAAAAAGTAGACCCAATTTTTTCAATGTAGAATTTCTTGCGTACGTTGAAAGCTCGAAGCCAATATTCTAGCCGAAGCCATAGACCAAGCCGTAAACGTAGCCGGAGTAGGAGACGGAACTGGCTCTGACGAGACTGTCCTGTACGGATGGACAAACGGACTTTGAGACGGAGGGAACTGGCTCTTTGCATAATTGATGGCTGCAGGTGTATTTGCGCTCAAATGAGGCATGCTAAACACATGCCTTTGACACTTATACACACACGCCATGGCCTAGAACACCAGCATCAAACACACGCTCACATGTTTGGAAGTCCTGCGATATCCTGCCGTGCAAAACAACTAAACTAAAGGCAGCCGCTGGCAAGGCCAAAACAAAAACATTAGAAAAACTGTGTAAACACATAATGCGGATGGTAAATGCTGAATGAAAATAAAAAACCCATAAATGACGTGAACAGAGGTGAACAAAAATTAAAAGTTTGCCAAAATAATGGGTCCTTTTTAAGAGCTAAGCAATATGTACCTTTAAAGCTCTATAAACTCGAAATATATCATTAATTTCCATAACTCTTTAACTCTTACATCTCAGTTAAGCCTACACCTAATCTAAGGTACACAAATCTACCTGAGACCCATTTAAATATCAACCCTTTCAATGCGATACGATCTCTCGCACGGTGATAACTTTATTCAACTTTAAATTTTGTTTAACATCTCCACCAACAATATCCCATCTAACACAAAAGGCCTATGGGGCCAGGACCTCTCGAACTTCTACCGTCCTGTGTAAAGGGATCGAAAGCGTCCATTCAAATTGAAAAATTTACGTGGAAAACATGCAAATTTATGCCATAAACACAATGAGTTTAATGTGCGAGCGGGAGGACCTCAGAATAAAAAAAAAATAAAGGTAGAGTATGGGGAAATGGAAAGAGACAAAAACGGAGGGGGAAAGAGAGGGTGGCCGAGTGAGAAAGCACACCTCAACCTGTGTAAACTTATGGCCTGACAGTTTCAACCGCATTCAGGGAACGATTTGTAGGCCACATGACCAGGCCCCAAAAAAAAGAATGGAAAAGAGAAATATATTAAACAGTCCATTTTTTTGCGGCAAACACGAGCCCCCCAAAAAAGCCCCTTCACTATCCATTTTTTTGCTCCTGCTCTGACATTTTATTGACAAAATTATTGAACACGTTTTGACCGTGCCACACAAATCTAGCCCCAGAGCAGCGATGGCAACATAATGGCGACTCAGCCGCCCGCTCGCTTCCATCACGCAGGCTCCCATTGTCAAACGCCCCAGGTCACGGCACGACCGGGGGCTATTGGGCGTGGCAGGGGCGTGGTCGAGTGGTATAATGGCCGCGGAGGTGAGTTCAGGCACCTCGGCGCAACGGCCATTGAATTTATATGAATTTATAATTGAAAATTAAACAACTTGGCAAATATGGTGGGTAATTGCCTGACGATGGAATGCTCTTGCAAAAATTTTCTTTTAAATTATTTGTTAAATAACTGTACGGATTAAAAAAAAGAAGAAATTTTTGTAAATAATTCAATTTGGTCAACAATTTTAAAGACTATTAAAGACCCCTTTTTAAAACCAAAGAAAAAAGATCTGAAATTATTTTTAAAAATTCTTGAATTAACTATTTTTTATTTATTTATATTTCTAATATAATCTAGTCGACATTTATGAATCAATTTAGGGTATAGCCAAGCACATTTCACCTGTCCATGCGTTTCCGCCTAATGAATGGCTTATTTAATTCGACCCGATGTGTGTGTGTTTGGCTAGAGAAGAGTAGGCCAAGCACGTTGAGTGCAAGCCCGTCCGCGTTGCATTTATAATGACAAATGCATTTTTGATAAAATCCGTTGAGCTTCAAAATTCGCATTTGTGTGCTCATGAATACGCGGGCAGTCGCATGTGTATGTATTAGCGAGCGATTGTGTGTATGGGTGGGTGTTCTGGCTAATTTGTTTGCACATAGGCGAGTGTTTAACATTGTGAGTAAGTGTGTGTGTCTCTGAAAGCGATATGTCAATTTGGAGCACTCCCCCACATACACATGACATACCTATCAATTTTATTATAGAACACATCCACACTCCTGTGGAGAGTGGAAAACCACCCAACCACTCAGCGATATCCAACCAAACCACCCACCAAAAGCTGCTGCCTTTTGTATGGCGATAAACTTAATTTGAATAATAAATTACGTTGATATTTAATCAGCGTTGTCCTGCGATAAAATCCAATGGCCCCAGAGAAGGAATTCCATAGAGTAAGCGAGAGGGCAAGTCGGCGAGTGAAAGAGACGTAAAGTCTCACAGAGCTGGCGCGCAACTGATAATGAAAGTCCTGGTCAGAGCACTGTTCTGTTGTGATCCTTTTCCCTGGCTGCGAATCCTTTGCACGCACTGGCCATAAACTGCATGAAGTCATTATCGTTAAGCGGAATTTGTGTTAATCTGATAACAAAATTATGAACAATTAAGTCATTGCATGCGAATTGAAAATTTAAATGGCCCCTCAGACCGACAAAAGCGATGAGAGTTCCCGATCTGAAGTGAATTCAAAGCCGCATTAATTTAAAACACACAAAAAAATCCCCATAAAGATTAAACAAACAAAAAGTTGTAGAAGTTGAAAAAAAATGAATATGCATTTGAAAAAGGCCAAATTATAAATATTTAATTGTAAGCTTAACCCAATTTGAAAGTCAATTGTGGTTTTAACAATCATAAGCTTTAGTTACATAGAAACAGGAGCAGAAAAAAGGACATAATAAATGGTTGAATATTATTTAAACAACTATCCAATTAAATTTTAAATCAATTACGAATTTAAATCTTTTTGTATTTTATTTTCAGTGCACGAGCTGTGAAGCTTACATGAAAGTACACAGTGCTGAATGAATGTTTGTTTATCAGTATACGAGTGTAATAATCATAGACCAAGGGGGCCAATGCACTCGGCCAAAACAGAAAAAAAGCCGACAACGATACAGAGACCCAGACATCACACAATGAGAGACAAATGCAAATTAAGCCTCGTAAACAATGTCGCATATTCATATGGAAGCGCAGTGCACTATGGGGAATTTGACCATTTTTTGTGACAAAAACCCATTTTCTGAAAGTCGGAAAATTAAAATAAGTTTCAGTGTAACGTATTCCAAATTCACCAATCTTCAGTGGTGCATAACAAAAATTTTGATAGAGGGCGCCAAAACAAAGGAATCAGCTGACAAACACAGCTGTAGCAATTGCAAAGCACAGGCGACTAAAACATTAAGTTTTGTTAACAAAGTTTGAGAGGCTAGAATTAAAAATCTAAACAATATAATAACTTTTTTTTAAATGAATATCATTCTGTGTGGCTTGTATTATATGTTTGTGATCGTCATTTGTAGAATAAAATCGTGTTGTCCCCGTAATCGAGCAAAAATGTAAGTAGCCTTGCCACTCCATATTTTGGATGAAGTCTCATGTTCCATAAGGGATTTAAAATGAGTCTAGAAGAGTCCATCGACGAAACCTATTGTATGTTGTAGAGTATTAAATTCTTGTTCGAATAAATGTAACTTTAAATACCACTTTTTCCGATTATGCGAGAATTTTTCATTTTTAGAACATAACCTTAATTTGGCAAACACAAATTTTTTTTGCGAAATTTTTCGAAGCAAAGGAAAAAGTTGCAGAGGAGAACGCTGTCTTTCATTTTATTAAAGATTCCATCTCAGGAGTGAATTTTGACGCAAATGTGGAAGAGGTGCTCTTCTATCTTAAGTCAGTAGCGCCGGAATCATGCAGTTTGGCTGAATTCAAAAACTATTACATTTTCCGAAAACCAAGAAGCCTGTAGGCCAACACTGCCTTTTCATTCGAAGGGAAATATATCTCGCAGAAAGCACGCTGTAGTGCCTCCAGACTTGTAGTCCAGACGTATTTCTGCGAGC